ATTATTATTATTATTATTATTATTATTATTATTATTATTATTATTATTTCTTTTAAGAGGGCAGGTTCGGTGAAAGGCACTGCAATCCGGTTGCCAGATCTGGGATGCAGAACCATCAATGACCATTGAGGGCAGCAGAGAGGGACACAATAGGGACGGTTTGCTGCCATCTGGAAGCCATCTGATTTTGCAGCCTAGATCCGGTAGCCCTAGGCCAGTGATGGTGAACCTTTTGGGCTCAGCGTGTCAGAAATTCAGAAAATGCCTGACTTGACTCTGCTGGCGTGTCACTACCCCCACCCCCCCAACAAAAGAAAAACAATTCTTTACATATTGGTTTATTTTTTAAAAATGCAGTCCAATCCTGTGCGGTGCTATGTATTATATAAAGAAATGCCAAATCATTACAAAAATGAAATACGAGTAAAACGAACTCTGTTTCTTTGGTAACTGAAACAGGGAGAACAGTTATTGGGTGTTGGTGAATGCTGGTGTGTCACCCAAAACCTTGTGGCGTGTCACCTTTGACACGTGAGTCATAGATTTGCCATCACCACCCTAGGCTGTAATGTGCTATGTGTTTGCACGCTGTCAACTTTAAATTTAGTGGCTGGAGGTGAAGGGGTGTGTGTGTGTGTGTGTGTCATCCAGTGCACTGGAAATATGCAGACTGTTCCAAGAGCTAATTCATGGCTGACAGCTCCCAACATTCTGGTTCATCGATAAATCCAGCCAGATGCTGTCACATCTGGCTTTCCTGAAATGTCTCTTCAGCTTCTTTTCATCTTCTCCCTCCATCCTTTCCAAAAGAGGAGAACAAAGAACCAGGTTACTAGTTGTTCCACCAAGGTTGTGTACGTGCATTCCAGGTTCTGTAATGGTGCCGCTTTTAACGTGCAATACTTCCTAAAAGCTCAAGTTACTAGTGCTTAAGAAAACCTGAAAGGTGGTCTAGATGTAGAGTACTGTATCTATCAATAGTGCCATTCTTCCTGGGCTCACAGGCTGTGTTCAGCTCCAGTGACTTAACTTTGGGGTTGTCCCCGAAGCAAAGACGCGGAAAGGAGGACGGGATGGATCAGTGAGGAAAAACAGAGAGGCTGATGGGAATATCTTTATTTCCTTCTTTCTACAGTGAGGAGATCATGGCGTTCATTCTGGTCCGTGTCCCGCCACCAGTTCCTGGGGCACCCCGGCCCCGATTCTCACTCTACCTCTCTGCTCAGCTGCAATATGGCGTGATCCTGGTCTACAGTCGCCAATGTCAATATCTTGTTGGTAGGATTCCATCCAAACCACCTTTCCCTTTTGTTCCTTCCTAGAACAGGTTTCTCCTTCTTTCAGAAAATCAGGAGGCATCGGGTAGCACCTCTTCCAACTAACACGTTTTATTAAAAGGCAGAAGCTTTTGTGAGTTACTTATCAGATACATCTCACAAAAGCGCCTGCTTTTTAACAAAAGTTGCTAGCCTAAATAGATGTTACTAGGTTCTGATAGACTAACATAGCTTTCTTCCTACAAAGTCCTTCTTTACAATAACTCCAGGATGTTGGTTTTTTAGTGGTCGGGCCCAACCCATTTGGAAGATGCTAGGTCGGGGAATTTAAATGAGAACCGTGCCTGTATTTGTCTTTCCTGCATGTATTTTCCTCCGAGGTTTTCCAAAATTCAGGGGTACCACTGATGATATGTTTATTTCAACCATTTGGATTAAGGAAATAGGAAGTATTGCTTCCAAGTTGGTATTATTCACCTTGTTCCCAGTTCTGAATTTTTCTTTCCAGAGGAAATCCAACACACCCTGGAACGCCTCAGCCGAGCTCATCAACAGATAAGGATTGATTTGACGGATCTCGAGCAGTGAGTGATGGAGATTTTGCCTGACTTAGATTTGTAGGTGGACTTTGAACAAGTTGGTCTCTTTTTGGGCCACAATTTCCAATTCTGCAAAATAATATTTATTATCAGAGTGATCCCTCGTGGAAATAGGGAGGTAGACACATCTTTCAGACTCAGTTTCTCAGCCATGCTGAGTGCGAAAATCCTTGGGATGGGATTTATGGGAGAAAGTTAAGGTCAGAAGATTCCCCGTGGTTGTCAAGGCATTTCAGAGTCGCTGAGTGAATAAGGACATTTGATCTGAAAATCACACTAACAAAAGGGGGACTGTTCAGCCTTCTTCCTCCCTGATCACTCTGGAATGCATGTTATTTGCCTCCCTGTTTGTAGGGAAGATGGTTTAAAACAGCCTTCTTCAGCCTGGCATCCTGCAGATGTGTGGGTTTACACACCCATCATCCCCAGTTAGGGGTGCTGCTGGAGAGATGATGGATCTTGTAGTCCTTCAACCACCAGGCTGGGGAAAACCCAGCTTAGAACGGTTCAGGGAAAGTAAAAGGCCCGTGACTTTTTAGGATTCCTCAGGAAGTTGTTAATTCTTTCTGTTCTTCCCAACTCCAGACCGGGGCTGCTCCTCCCCGATCAACTGGCCCTGATGGAAGCTCTGGAGGAAGCTCCTGATCCCTTTTTTGGCATGATGGAGCCTGTGCTGCCCAGTCCTTTATCCATCCCTCATGTAAGATGATCTCTCTTCTTGGAGGTGCTGAGGGCTGTTCCTCCCCACCCCGATGCCCTAACCACGTCTGGCGTCCTGGATCAGGGCCGCAAGCACTTCTAGCTCACATGCCGCCTCTTGGAAGGCTGGGCCTCTCCAGGTGAAGGGGAAGTCCCCTTCCCATTGACCTCAATTCGCATCACCTAGTTTTCTTGGCAGCAGATGGAAGAAAACAGTTTGCCAGCTGTTTTCTTCCGGGATATTGCTTTGCACTTCCCTGTCCAGCCTACAGTCCCAAGTTTTCCGGGTAAGTCTCCCACCCAACCACTAGCTGGGCTTGTTCCTGCTTAGCTTCCAAGCCCTGACAAGGCCAGCCAGCTACTGCTACTTGTTTGGATTGAAAATGCTTCTTTGTGTTGAGCTCAATTTATAGGTACGACTGTGGCACTTTCATGACAACAATGCAGAAGGGGTTTAGGATGGACTTTTTCTAGATATTTTATTTCCCAGTGTAGCCTGCAATGGTGGGGTTTCCTGGTGGTCTCCCATCCAAATACGAACCACTTCTGGCCCTGATTAAGTCAGCAAAGGTCATCCAGCTGGTCCTACCCTGAGCTGGAAAAACTCCCGCTTGAAATCTTGAGCCACGTGAATCCAATTCCTGGCGCAATATAAGGCTGATCGCCCCTCCTATTTTCCAAGATCCGAGACATCTTGGAAGCGCCGACTCCTGAAAGAAGCCCTCCGGAACGACCTCCTCCATCCGTCCCACCTCGAAGGGCAGGTGAGGCCGAAACTCCGGGGCCAGGAGTGCGGTTTGGGGTGGGAAGGCCTCTTATCAACAGGCCAACATCTGCCTCCCTCAACAGCTACCAGTTTGCCTTGCAGGAAGGCGGTAAACCCGCAGATACACGTCCTGCCAACCGCGCTACTTGAAGGAGGATGTGGTGACTCTCACCTCATTTACGCAGAATGATTTTCTGCTGTTCAGCTCAGCTGCGGCTTGAAACTGAAACTGCCCAGAAGCCTCTGTTGTTAACACATTGCAAGTGTGAAAGCTTCCAAAAGCCTCCTCTGGCTGCAGCTTTCAAAGGATTGTAGGAACATGTAACATTTGCAGGAATTAATGCGCTGGGGCAATTGTTGCGACCCAAGCCCCTTTCCTCTGCAGATGGAAAAGAGCCCGTCATTCTTTGCTTTTCCAGAGCCCATCTGTTCTCTGCAGCTTCTGGCTGATACTTTTCAAACTTGCCAAGGGCCGCAGAAAGAGGCCCTTTCCTTCTGTTTGCTCATCGCCTGCCTCTTCAACTGTGTAAGGGCCATTATACAGAACGAGCCCAGTAGAAATTCTTCGGCGGTAGTTTACCTTATAATCATTTGCGGCAACAAAAACAAAAATAGAAAATCACAGAACCTTTCGGCTCGCCGAGGATGAACAATGCACACGTTACCATGCCGTAAATGAAAACAACTCTGTGTGAAGATTCACTGGCTTCGCACATCCAATTATTTATTTTTCAGCATTTTTAGAGAATGGCATTTCTGTTGTAGTTAGTTTCCATGGCTCTAAGGGAAGGGAGAGCGTGAGTTTGCATAGTCAACCACTAATCTCCAAATCCTGTTGTTCCAAAGGAAAACCAGTCATCACAGTCTCTCCTGAAGCGATCACGCTCAAAGAATCCGAGCCCATCACCTTGCTGAAAATTGAAGTAAGCCCTCATGCCGGGAGGTGGGGAAGAGGTGGACAAGAACGACCTGATCCATAATGTCAGGGAGGGAGAGAGACCAACACAACAGATCCATGGCAGCTTCTTCTGCCTGCCTTAGGGTGAGCAAGATCTCCCTGAAATCACAGCTGGAGAGATCGACTTGTTGGTGGAGCAGGAAGGATTCCTGGTGCCCGGGGCAGAGGAGGGACCACTGTCCCCTCAAGTTGCTTTCAAGAAAAGGCGTGTGGAGGAAGGTGAGTGGAGAGAAGGAGAGGACCCCATCAGACTTGGTGAGACTTTTAGGTTGGTTCTGAAACTCAGGAACATTTGAGAACATTAGATCTACCAATGGTCAGTGGCCTCTGTTGTTTTCTGAAATCCCCAGGACGGGAGAGGGGAGGCCATGCTTGAAATCCAGTGAGGGTCTCTGGTTCACCTTTAAGATCTTTGCAAGAAGGTGGGACCTGGGCATTAGGAGAGCAGGGAAAATCAAGCTGATGAGTCTGGAGTTCTATCTCAGCAGGTCATCTTGAGGACATCAGCCACTTTGAACATCCCAGCCCTGCAGATATGTAGTTCCCCTCATCCTTTAACTACCAGGGTTTGGGGTTGGGAGCCACCACAACTGAAGATCCCCTGGTTGGGAAGGGCTGGTCTGTCCCATCTCCATACTGAGTACAGAGAGGAAGGGTGGAAGGAGAGAGATTGTTCCTGTTTCCTCTCATTGGGGGACTTGCTCAACTTTCGCGAAAGTTTTTCTGGAGGCTACGAACATTTGTGAACAGAGAGAAAAAAAGCATGCCTTTGTTACAGGATTCTGCAGAGTGGTTACAACAGTGTTTCTCAACCTTGGGAACTTTAAGATGTGTGGACTTCAACTCCCAGAATTCCCCCAACCCACCTGGGTTGTGGGGGAGATTTTGGGGGGTGAAGGAAAACACTCTAATAAATCCCA